TCAGACAGAATGATAATCCAAACAATGCATACACATATATATTTACAATGCATGAATTAAGTAACGAAAGTCAAGCAATAGAAATTAAATAGTTTGATATTTACGAAAGCGGAGTTGGAAGTGCTGTCATATTTTAAAAGGATGAATTGAAACAAGAGACCAGACTGGTGGAATGAGTGTATTGTAATTTAAGAGAAGAGTTGTAATTCTTTGCTAGCCTTAAGTCCCGTGTTAACAAACCATTTCTTAATATATGTGTATGCATGGTTTGGATTATCATTCTGTCTGTGGATGACTTTGAAATAAATCGAAAATTTACAGTTCACGTCTTGTTTTGATTCACATTTTTACATCTCAAGATGTCTTGTTTCTTCAGAATTTGTTCTTTACTTAACTCTTAAAGAGTACTCTATAGTCATATTTATGTCAATGTGGTAATGTATGTTAGTGCAATCAGACTAAGTTACACAACATATTTGCAATAAGAATTTTTTTTTAATGAAGTTTTGAGAAAAAAAACAATATATAATCTTTTGTATTTCTGCTAAAGATGACTAAATGACAAAAAAAAAATATTTAAAATTTATTTCCTTGTAAGGTTTATTGTGCAGTTGCTGCAATTGTTCAGCACGTTTTTGACTGGTAGGTTTCCTTCCCTACACTGCTTGGCAACATGGCCCAATCTTTTGCATATGTAGCAACGTCGTCCTGTTAAATATTCATAAGAAAGCTGTAGTTCATAAAACTTTTTATTTGTTTGTGTCATTAGCTTAATTCTGTTAACAATAATGCATGCAACTTGAAGTTTTCAACCATCTAATCAAGCTGATGTTTTATCACTAGGTCAATCAAACTTACTTCTTCTCATACGATTAAACTCTATACAAAAAAAGTATATAATTGTCAATTACAATGGTTTAAATCCCTTCTTGCAAAATATCTATTTACACTTTATCGTTTTTTGCATACAAAAACACCAGATGCTAGATTATACAGATGAGGAAAAAGCAATGGACACTGGTATCAAATGTGTATAAAATTTCATTACTTTTCTTGCATTCATTCATTTTGTGGCCTTTGTGGCCACAATTATAGCATCTTCCTTCATTAAAAAAAACAATGGCAATTATCAGCCAGGCATCAAAGGCAATTAGTACATGTATACACTATACCACACCTTTAAATGAACTTTTTGCTTCGACATTGCTTTCTACATAAACAAATCGTTTGTTAGGTGCTGTTTGATTTGTTATGTGTATGATTAAATTTCAGGTTAAAAGACTCTTGGTGAAAAGACTCTTGGTGAAAAGGCTCAGGTGAAAAGACAAAAGTATCATGTGAGAGCTGATGGGCATATATCATATATGAATGAGAACAGTATTGTATACAAAGCACTGTTTACCTTCTTTATTTTTTTGGTTTTTTGAATTGGACCCACCTCAAATAGTAGTAGATTTTTAGCACATTTTGATGCATTGTTGTATTGTGTAATAAAGCAAAAAACAATCATTAAACAGTATAACCATTTTTGGCTAAATACACACTTGCATTTTCATTATCTTCCTCTTCAGTTTCCTGACCTGTTTTGAATGCAATTGAACTATTTGAGTGATTTTCAGTTTTCAAAACAAAAACAAATTTTATACACATTTGATACCAGTGTCCATTGCTTTTTCCTCATCTGTATAATCTAGCATCTGGTGTTTTTGTATGCAAAAAACGATAAAGTGTAAATAGATATTTTGCAAGAAGGGATTTAAACCATGTAAATGAATCACTTTTTGTTTACTTCCATGCTGAAAGCTTCATATAAAGCTTTTCAGATCAGAAATTATTAAATTATTGATCTGTACTAACCTCTTTTTCATCCATGGACCACAATAGAAAGTTGGCAAATACAATAAAAACAAGAAATAAGCAAAGGAAAATTCAGACAAGTTTTAAAAATATTTATAGTATTTAAAAAAAAAAGCGGGAAAAAAATGCAAATGACAAACGCCAATGCTGTATTCTGATTGGTTAACAAATCAAACTTTTTTTAACTATGAAGAACTAAATATTGCATTGAATTTTAAAGTTTTTTATAGTTTGTAAGAGATGATTCCCATGATAATATACATGTAAATTTAGCGTGCACAAATCGTCAATTGCTGTATCAGTAACGTTGAAACAGGGGTGTAAATCCTGGAGAGGGGATTGATATGTGGTGGCTCAGCCTCTCCCTTTCAAAAAGTTAGCAGTTTTGTCGAGCAAAGCATGTAATTTTGCGGAAATTAAAACGGCAAATATTAACGATGACGTTTGGATCAACTCATAACTAAGTAAAAGCGATTTTGCTGGTATTAACATAAAAATTACACTACGTTTTGTTGGGCAAATCAAATTCTGCAACGTTTCCCCTCTCCATTCTCGGGACTCAAGTCACACCCCTGCATTCAAGTAAAATTCTTCTAAATTTTTTTCAAGTTATTCGAAGTTTAACCATTGGCTTTTTACAAGTCAAGAAACTATATAAACAATGTGAACTCATTGAACTATAAGGTACAAAAAAATGTTAAAGATAAAATGTTACGCATCATGAACGTTGTTCAAGGACTTCCGCATGCAGATCATCTCGGCAATATTCATAATGTCACCTGTAAGTTAAACACGTGCGTTTAATATTGAGTAACGTTTATTTTTAAAAGAACGTTAACAATTCATTTATCAATTGACAGACTGGTTTAATTTTGAAAAAAGCACTTACTACAACGCTCGATCTGATTGAAAGTGCTATCAATGTTACGACCACAAAATAGTTTTCTTATGTCGTCCAATTGGGCTGTTTTGTTGAGTATTTTTTTCTCTATAAAATCTTTTAGCAATTGGATTCCTGGAATTCAAAACGTCAAACAAGCGATCAAATACTCGAATGAATTTGACTGTTTTATCACACCCTTTAAACTGTGGAAGTTTGAGCTTACCTTCACAGAACTCTAAAGCATCTGCAACACTCGAGCTGAGTGCTTGCACTGCTAAATTTACCTTCATTTTCTGTGGCTTCCAGTTTATGTGAGCTTTCTTTAGTTTGTTGGCAAGTCGCAAGCCTTCTGAGGCTTGCAGTTTTTCTAGCTCAACTAGGTATTGCCATCTTACCAAACCATCTTTTTCATCCTTCAGAGTTCTCAATTCAGAAATTGCTCCTCTGACAAGCTTGATCATATGACAAGGATCTAAGAATGCATAAATTTTCAACATTAAATCAGATGGATGTAAAAAATATGCTTGGAAATCATTAAGTGAAAGTTTCACTCCAAGCAACTTCATCATTGCAAGATGTGTGGATGGACCATCACACGTTAAACTTCCAACTTTAACACCAACATCATGCAACTGCATCAAACACTCCTTGGTTAAATTTGCTTTTACTTCTGCAGTGAGGCCATCTACCAAGAAGTAACCAACTGGTACTTTCCAAGATGAATCTAGAGCAACAGCCATGTATACCAAAACTTCTGTTGCTTCAGGGAGTGAATCATCGTCAATCCCAGTACCAAGGTCAACATAACCACAAACTTTTTGACCATCCCATTCTACGTGTTTACGGATTGACATTTCATCCAGCATCAATGCACATATGACTTCCTTGCCATCTTTCTTTGATTCTTGAACCTTCACTTTCAAAGCATTCAAGGCATCCTTGGTGAAACCAGGGTCACCATCCACGGATTTATACCAAGATCGAATTACTCTTGGATGAGGTAAGGCTAAATTAAACTTCTCACGAACATAATCATAAGCCTTAGGCGAGTAAAATTTCAAAGTTAGTGCAAAAGCTTGCAATTCTGGGGGGTATTGAGCACCTTTTTTACCCTGAGTGTTTGCCACTAAACGACTCAAAATATCTTCAGGAACCCCAGATAGTGAAGCATTAAGAAGTTCAGCTTGATCAGAGCTGATCATTTTATCATCTTTAAGGCAATCAATGATTGACAATAAATCATTTACCTTCTTTTTCAGTCTACTTTTTTCCATATTAGACACTTTTAACCTCTTTCTATAATACTCTGCCCGGTCTATAACATCTTCCAATTGTCTTTTCAGTCTCCTGGGAGACTTAAGACAATACGAGTGATCATGAGTAGAGAAATGACGACTCACCTTTTCAGTGCTCTTCGTACATTCAACATCCTTCACCTGTTGAAATAATGTGGGCACAGCTTTATCTTCTAGACACACTTTGTTACCTGATATTCTCTTCATGCTATCGGAAAAATGATCTGAGCAAACTCTGCTCCACTTAGTTAGAACTGTGAGAGGCGACCATTTCTTTATACTATTTACCCATTCCAAAAAGTGCAGGGTTTTTCTTCGTCAGGAAAACTATTTGAAATAGATTAGTAAATTTATTGTTTCATGCGTTGATTCAACAAATAAATAAACAAATTTGTTGAATTTTTTAAAAAACACACAGGAAAACATCAGTGTATGCAGTATTTAAGACAATGTTTTTTCATAAGGCCTAACAGATTTTGGGGCTTTCAATTGTATAAATGCCGATTCAATCTTTCAGGAACAAACAAAATAAGCGAATAACTCACCTGTGAAAAGCGATGTCCTTCGCGTTGTCAATATTACGACATTCTACAATTGAACATCGATTAGGCATTTTTGAAAAAAATATTGTTTTGGCCTTGAAAATATTGTTTATTTATCATACAGCTTGCAATTGCATTTGAAATTTTCAACTGAAGGCGGGAAAATCAATAACATCAATCCGGAGGAGGTCGAGAATATTATTTTTCTGCAAAGCGATCATTTCAGCGGAAATACGTCCGTTGGCCGCCATGTTTTTTACAACAGTTCCCAGTCCACTTAGCCGCTCCAGTTATTATAGAACTCAATGGTCGTACTCTTGCTAAAACTCCCTAATAAGTCTTATATTACGTCACACTCGTCAGCAATCTAGTTCTATTATATCTATGCAAATACAGGGCTCTGGGTCCCATTCCACTTAGCTCCTCCTGTTATTATAGAACTCAATGAGCGTCATCGCACGTGTAGTGTAGCAAACTTTCAAGTCAAATGGCGTCGCTGGAAAGGCAATATTTTTGGGGTTAGCTTGTAATCTCGTATTTTTTGACAATTACACTGTTTCATTGTATTTTATTTAATTATTTCTTCCAGGATGCACCTTGAGCAAAGACAAACAAGAATACAAATGGCTTGGCGTCGATGATAAAGATGTCACAGGAGAAGTTGACATTGTGAACCAACTGGTGCTCAGTCAGGTAATTCGTTTTTCTTATTGTCAATGTCTACTATGAGTCATCTCTTATCAAATGCATCGCAGTATGTATAGAAACACGTTTGTTGCGCCTGATTCTTATTGCGGGGAGTTTGATGAGAAATATGAGTTTGTCTAGCAATTACACTGTCCAAATTGGTGACCAAAGTCATTGCAAATGTGCACTAGAAGTATTTACACAAGCTGAAGACAAAGTCATCTTAGTTGACTCTTTATAGGAATTATTTTTGAAATAAATTGGTGATATGTGAATTAAAATTATAATGTGTCAATATAACATGACAACATATGATGAATATGGAGAAGATTTATGATTTTGAACACCATGTTATGTTATTAAATCATCACTACTGTTTTAGAGTTAGGTGGTTTTGGCTTACATGTAAATAGTTCTTTAACACTAAGGCATTTAGAAAGAAATTGTCATTGTGTATGCCAACCACAGTCCACAGATAGCACTGACAAAATTGTTTCATTGTGTTTTTTTTTATACACAATGATGTCACTGAACAAGACTTTAGTTTTCTCATACATGTTGTGCCCTGCTTCTTTCATTCTATTTATTTCAGTTTGATGGTTTGAAAACAAACATATGGAGAAAGATAAATTTTAAAAAAGCCTGTTTCGTAAAAATAATTTGTTTCTTCTGAGGTTCAGTTTAATGGATAATTTTTTTAGTTTATTATCCATTGCATTTTCTGAAGTAAGAAGAAGCATTTATTTGCAATGTTTAGAGTTGGGTATATTTTCTGGATATTCGCATTTTTAGAGGCTTGACATGTATTTCTGATTTATGTTTGTTGTGCATCAGAATTATTGATGTTTTGGAATGTTCAATGTTTAATATACAACTTTGTTTTGATGTGCTTGTTATGGAAAATTTTCCTTTATGTTTTTGTAGTAGCTGTGCAGTTGTCTTATTTCAGACCTTTTCCATACTACATATTGTCTGTGATTTCTGTATTTATTCCTGATGCTGTAAAGATTGTTTTTATTAGAATATTTGTCAGAAATACAATTCATACCATTCAAAATTTGCAGTTATTATTTGCAATTTGACCATGAATGAAGTATAAATGCTATATGCTAAATATTTCTTCACCACTCGTCACTTTGCATAAAATTGCCTAAGTTGTCGACAGGAATCCCCTTGTCACAATAAATATTATATATGTATAACTAACATACAACAGCTAATGCAATGTTTTAGTATGACTGATATGAGAAGAGGTGCTGCCTGCAAGACAGTTTGGGGAAGGGGTGGGAGGGCACATCTTCATGTATGCATGTTATGCCACATTAAGTTTTATTAAAAACTATTGTTTTCTGCAGATTATAACCTAAATTTATGTATATTTAGCCTAACCTCAACTCTAACCCAAACCTCTTTTACCATTCATCATTCATCTATACAGCAGCAAAGTTTTATATTTGCAAGAAACCAATGTCATTTTTGGACTTTAAAGATCTTTTTTCATTTGTGATTTATTGTTTTGTTTAAGTATTAAAAGCACAGCTTTGTATATGTAGTTCAGGCGAAAGCATTCCACATGTCTGATCTTATAGATCACATTATCTACAAATCAAGTTTCTTGATTTGTCAGTGTGCAATTATTTTGTTGCTTTACAGGCTGTTCGTGGACCCAAAGCAAGAGATGGCCCACATGTCGTGCAAGTTACCACAAGTGGTATTAATAATGATGTAATTACGCAGCCAATCATTGTTATAAGTCCTGGTGTTAATCAGGTAATGTTGTGAAACACTACAAATTTTGAATTTGATAACACAAAATGAAATGGCCTTCACTTCTTTTTATGTGGCAAAAATCCAACAATAGAATGGTAAGCAAATAATAATTATTCAAACACAGACTTTGCCACAGTGACAAATCTAAATATTAACTTTAAAAGTGCAATTGCCATTATTAATGGCCAAAAATAAAAGAGTTTCCTAGAGTTCTGAAATCTAATAGAAAGCCATAAATTCAAGGAGTTACGAACAGTTCTTTTCAGATATCTCTCATTTCAATTGGTTTTCAGAACTTTTACAAAGTCTATAATTTTTGGTCATTCACCATGGCAACTTTTCAAAGCAATAATAATCATTTTTATGATGAAAATTTTTGTTACTGATAAGCACTTTTTTGAAATAGCCTGCATACAAAAATGACTAAGCTAAAAAGCAATTTGAATACTTAAGAATTAAAAGATATTTACTGTGTTTGCACAAGCATATGCAAACCGAGAAGACCTTTAAGAGAACTTGAGTGCAGATCAGTGCAAGCCCGAGTCCAAAGGTTACTCCTACTCAAGTTCTGTGCAAACACGTAAAACATTAGAAAATTAAACAAGACTTATCTGAAGTCAAAGTTTGATTGAAATTCTTTGTGTTACTGTTCAGGAACTAGAAAGTCATGTGAGATAGAGCGTGCGAAATCAAGATCAGTTTTTACGAATTTTGTGAATGTGCACATACATATTGGGAGGCAAGAAGTATTTAACATCATATATATAAAAAGAATTAAGTAATAAGTCTGGTGGGTGACTTTCCAGTTCCTGAACAGTAACTCATAGGATTTCAATCATACTTCGACTTCAGGTAAGTCTCGTTTAATTCTCCAATTCTATTTTGTCACTGTTCTACGTCACTAGGAAGTCATGTGAGATTTTAAAGCAATGTGGACGTGATCAATAACTAATAACAAAAGAATATAATCGAAATTTCACATTTCATGTCTCACCAATGGCAGAAAGTACATCATTGCCAAAGTTTGCCTTAATTGATTTATTAAAAAATGTTTGAAAAGTTAGCTCATTACGCCATGTAGCTGCATTCATAATAGTGTCCATAGAAACATGCTTTTTCCGCAGAAGTTATGCAGTTCTAGTACTGTGTGCACTGTAAACCACTGTATTTATACCAGCTTCCTTTAGCACGTATTTACCATCTGGAAATGGTCGCCGAGGTGAATGAATGATAAGGTTTTTGATAGCTCAATAGCAGTTGTCTTGCTCCTTTTCGTATGGGTGCAGTGATATTTAGATGATGGGACAAGTCATTAAATACACATGACCCAGGCTGGTGGATAAGCCAGAAACTCTAAAGGTGCAGCATGTTTACCAGGTTTGGATGTTTTAGTTGGTGAACATAAAAAACTATTTGATCTTTTTTCTTCTCCATGTGAGAAATGTCCAATGCATGAAGTGTTTGGCATCGCTGACCAGATAATAAAGCTAAGAGCATTACTGTTTTTAGTGTTTAGGATTTCAAATAGAGATCTTTAGGAGGGTGGAGTTTGAATACCATTCGAAGATATTTGAATACCATTGAAACGTCCCAGACCATGGCATATCTATGAAGAGCTGGTCTTGCAACAAATACACCTTTAACAAACTTAGCGACGAGTGGACCAAACGAGATGCCACTTGGTAGCATTAGGATAGTAGATAAGGCGCTCCTTACTGTATTGATACCGCTGTAAGTTAAACCTTCCTGATATAATTTTGTAAGAAAATCAATGCCCTACAGAGGACGCGACAGGATCGATATTGAATCTATCAGAGAGGAGTTTTTCGATAAATGGCAAAGTAGTAACTCCAGTTTTGAGTTAAGATTTTGGAAGAGTTAATTTCATTCTGCCTCAAGGTAAAACAACTGGATGTGCTAATAGCATCTGCATTAAAGCTGGCTACCAACTTTGTGTTGGACAGTTCGGGACTAAGACTATTCCTGTGTTTATTTCTTGTATTAATTTTGCAATACTTGCGAGTTTATGCTAAAAGGCGGAAACGTATAAAATGTATAAATGGCTCACGATATCGTAAATTCTTTGACAGCTATAGCATACGAGTCATGTTTGTATTTAACATCATGGTTTCACCTGATTACTCAGCCTTCACGCAAACAAATCGATGTTCTAATTTACGTTTAGTTTTTGAATGGCACACGTTAATTGAGTCTTGTTCAAATTGCTATTCTGTTTCTCTGCCTGAGAATCGAGATACTCGATTCGCAGTGACATTGTGTATTCCTGGAATGTGTGCTGCTGTCAACTAAATGTCATATGAAGTGCAGCAGCTCCAGACTTGCATGTCAACTTGTGAATAGACCTCGAGTGGCATGTGACCATTTGAAGTAAGCTACCGCCGTAGTATTATCAATTAATACCTTAACATGCTGACCTTTTAGTTCCGAAGAAAATGACTTAAGGCAAACAACACCACAAGAATTTCCAAATAGTTTATATGATAGGAATCTTCCAAGGGCTCCAGTTATCTCCACCTTTTTAAGGGAGCAGCCCCACCCTGTCAACAAGGCATCTGTTCTTAGGCACATGCTAGGTCAATTGTGAGTAATCTGCCTGTAAGTCGTTCATATTGAGGACAGCCACCATCGTAAATCATGTATGGCCTCTGAAGACAAGGTCATTGTCTTGTCAAATTTACCACGGTTTGACTTAAGGGCGTCGCTTTTATCCATTTCCGGACAGCGATGATGCAACTGACCGTACATTACGCCCCGGAGACTTGAGACAATAACCCGAGCAGCATCCCTTATTTTTCGGTGGGAAGCTTGTAGCAATTCATGACACATGCGTTTTATCTGTTCAGCTCGTTCTGTCGTGACAGATATTTACATAAGAACTGAGTTGAGTCGGAAACCCAAAAAGTAATTACTTGTGAATGGAACTAATACTGACTTATCCGGATGTACGTAAAATCCCACTTCACTAAATAAACAGATGGTATCTCGAATATTCCGAACATATGAAGCATATGTGTCGGATGTCAGCCAAGTATCATCAGTAAATCCAACAGAAATATGTCCTTTTTGATGTAAATTAGAAAAAACAGGTTTGAGGAGTTTGGTAAATTTTGTGGGCAGATGGCTAGGACGTTAGGAAAACAGACCAATTTATATAGCTGCCCTCTCCACCAAAATTTGAGGAATTTTTGATATGCTGCGTGAATAGGTACCCAAATAGTAAACATCTTTGAATTCGATGGACGCCATTAATCTATTTGGTTTCATAAGCCTAATAGCTCACCAGACACAGTCCATTTTAAAATGGTGATATCTGATATGCCTGCTTAAGGATTTCAGTTTAAGAATCATGCCGTAAGAACCGCCTTTTTTGAGGCAAGTGAATATTGAATATACATATTCCCCTGATTCACGGTGAGAAAGCTGTACAACGCCGTTTTTGCGTAATTTAATTGCTTATTTCTAAATCAATATTGTTCATTTCAATTCCGGGTAGTTATATTTGCTTTGATAAAGCTCTTTGAATATGAATTGTGTCAAATTCAAAAATTTGTACTGACAATGTCTCTAAGATTTCCTTATCATAGGCGAGTGTTTTCCATGCAGTTGAAAATAGCCTTATAGGTCTCCAAGCTTTTATTCAAATACGGTATTAGCATGGGTACGAAAGAAGAATACTGGTTTACCTGTAATTTCTTAAAATTTCAGTGTTTTCTACTTGCGATCGTTCATTGTGTCCGATCATTTCTTCCTGAGTTGGTTCCTCCTCGACCGATAGGGGGTGTTGCCCTGACGACGGGATAAAAAGGGTAGTATTAGAAGACCTTGTTGTCGCGTTGCCAATTTTGTTGGATGTGCGAATGTGGTTAATTTGGGTGTGCAATTCATCTCCAAACTAATATTTCCTAATGGGAACATGCGATGCGCATAAAATACTAAATTCTCGATGGAGATTGGGAAGTATAGCGTCACGTCGTCGTTGAGAGAATTCAAAACTTGCATGTCCCTTGATCGCTGTTATATCAGCGTTCATAAGAACAAGATTATCAACCATCAGTTTGCTTCTGTTATATCGAACAACCTACAGTTCATTGGTAGTTTGTGCTGCTATATGACCGACATTCTTCGGGGGCTGATTGAATGGCATTCGATTGTAAATCACGCCCTCTAGCTGCGCGGTCTAACTAACTTTCTAGTGAGGCGATCGCAGTTCTTAGGCCTAAAATATTTGCCTGCTTTTCCTTCAGTTGCTCGTCGCTCAGCTTGTTCAGCCAACGTTTGTTGATAATTGAGGCAAGCTTCTCGTTGACGTTTGGTGAAGTCTTCTCAGTTTCGTGAAGTGTCTGCGAAATCTCTTCCAGCAGCGGGTGCATTGTTTGTTGTTCTGCTTCAGAACTGCGCTTGGTCGAAGGTTCTTCGTTTTGTGCCATGACTTCGTAATCTGCGTCATGCCCTGATTCAGGGACGTAAGCACTTGCTTTCCCCTACCAGTTGATTCTTCTGTAGAGGATACTAAAGTTTGCTACATTAACCTGAGTGATTCACGCATTGCTGTCATTACTTAACTCATCCTGCAAAGGGCGGTTGCCACATTCAACTTTCTTGATGTGACTTGCTATTCTTCGCTTTCTTGAACGATGTTTTTTTGTTCATCGTGTTCAGCAAAACCCAGGAGTGCTGCTTCATCTCCGACATCATCTCTTGTCGTATACTCTTCACTTGTAGAAGCCATAATTCAAAAATTTGTAATATATTGTGGAAAGGAACTTTTTGTAACTGATCGCTGTGAAATCTACGCTTGAATTGATCTTGATATCGCACGCTCCATCTCACATGGCTTCCTAGAGACGTAGAACAAGGACAAAATAGAATCTTTTATTTCCTTTGTAAAATAACAATTATGCGAAACAGATGAATTTCAAACAAACGTTTTAATTTTTTCTCTAAAATGTTTTCATGATTGATTTACAAATTCTCTTTGATTGATTGATTGATTGATTTGATTGGTTGAACTCTGATCTGTTTACACAGGCTAACACAAACACTGTTATTGACCAATCAACTAAAGTGTTTTGATTTGTTTATTCAGAAAATAAGGTTAAAACATAGCACATGTTGTTCAAGCCAACAAAACTTCGGAAAATTTGGCCAATGCGTACGCGAACAATCCGTTTTCAACTCGCATTGAATATTTCGTTTTTATATGCTATTTTTATCATACACATGAAATATGCATAACGTGAATAATGGATGAGATTTAAAAAAACGCAACATAGCTAATACGCGATTTGGATATCCAATGTTTGCGTGCGTATTGGCCAAAATTCCTGAAAAACTTTTTAACTTGATTAGCATGTATCATATTTTAACCCTACGTATGTGTTCCAATTGCTTTTTAGCTTCGTAATTTTTGTGCGTAAGCTATTTGACAAATGCTTCTCGTTAACATCATTCTTATCCAAGAAATAGTTATTATTTGCGATATATTTATTGTCAGGCAAGGCATTTGAAGCTATTCCTTGTTTGCGTGCGGGTGATTTTATTGCAGTTTTCCTAACTGTTTTTATGGAAAATCTATCCCAGTGAATTTATATGATTAGCTACTATTTTTTATGTCGTTGTATTTTTTATTTATATAAGTTATCGTTTGTTATAGGTTCAATGTCGCTTAGAATTTTCAACGGAAGCAACCTTCAAACTTGTTGAAGGTAAGTATATTGCTCGAACTCGGGATTTTTCTACCAGTTAAAAGCATTCTATATTTTAGTGAGGCGGACTTGTGCGGACACAAATCTAATGCACTTTATCTAAAGCACCAAATTACTTAGAATTGCTGCTTTTAAGGATGATACGCTTACATTAAATGATCTAATATACGCCTAGGGCCGGTTGTATAAAAACGTATTTAACTTTAACTATAGTTAACGCTAACTACCGTAGTTAACTCCTTAACTGTAGTAACTTAACTGCGTTGCACAAAACGTAGTTTGTCGGATAGTTAAGTAACTGCGTAGTTAACTTACGTGGAAATTGCATGAAGTGCTGTTTACGTTAAAAGACATAAAGTTTAATCAATTTATGCTTTGTAATGGCGGGCAAGTGAACTATAAAATGACTTTAAAATCATGAAAAATCTCTTGGCTTATGTAAAAATCTTAAAATATGGCAAATTACTGTCGTTTTTACGGATGTTGGTGATGCGAAAAGAAAATTTAATAAACGATTCACGGTGACATGGTAACCGGATTAAATTGTAGCATATACTTTGGACTTTTCTCAAGAAAATCGATCCTTATCTTTTGTGTCATACAGTACGATATTGATGAATGATATGAATCTCGGCAAGGATTGCTTTATTTCATGTACCAATTATATATAATGGACTTGGGCAAACGAAACAATGAACTCTTCTCAAATTGATTCATATTATGTTCTATGTGCAAGGATTTGAATATTTGAATGGCCTTGCTTTTACAGAATTTAAACTGAGAGATTGAGGGTAACAAAGGAAAAGGTCGCTTCGTATCTCTTTATAACAGCTGAGTAAAATGCTTGAAAGAAATGTGTTTGTACAGACATAAGTCACACATATTTGTAAAAGATGACATTGATGGACTTTTTTATTATTTTAAAGTCATCATAGTTAGTAGCCATGTAATTCAGCAAATGTTTTTCTCTGCTTGTGACATGTTATATTCACAGCATACACAAAATACTTATTTGCTCTTAATTCTGCCTTGCAAAAAACTGAGTTATAAGAACTATTGAGTATATTTGTTAATGAACCTTAGCTATGAAACTTTTATTTATGCCTTTTTGATTTGAAAAAAGGTTTATTTTCAGATTTGAAAATAGACTATTTTCAGATTTGTCACCACGACAAAGTGTTTATTTTATTACTTTGTGATTTATTAGCCTATTTTTGTCTAAAGCTTGGGAGTTTTATTTATTTTATTTTTCTACTTTTTAAATCATCAAACAGTAGCTAGAGCTTTCTGCTTTTTAGAAAAATATTGGCAGGCAAGATTGTATGTACATTAAAAAGAAACATTTTTACATAGGAAATATTTGATGAAATATCAATAAAACCCATTAATTGACTGTCATGTATATTTTCTGCTTGTGTAATAAACCATGTGCAATGGATAATGTATGTATATCAAGCAACATGGACCTTGACCATGCATGCTGATGAAATGTTTTATGTATTTAGAAAACTAATATCATTGTATCTCAAGCAGAGATAAGATAAGAGTAGTCATGAACAAAAACTGTTGTAAAACTCATGTATCTATATGTATTATCATTGGTATACTTAGCACAACATTTATACTGTAGTACCTCTTTGTTTTAACATAATCTAGCTTATTTTCCATGGAGCAATGAGTTTATATAGTGCATATGATATTCAATCAAGCAAAATGCATAGTGAAAAACCCGCAATTTGAATAATTGATACACCCAAGGCTATAGGATTCATTGCTCGAATAACATTATTTCTTTTTTTTTGTCATTGAACTAATTGTACGTGTTTGTAGACAATGTCAGCGAGTTATGTGCACTAATCTTAAAGAAGTGGCTCTATCTCAATTAAGAGTCTCGCTTATGAGTTGCAAAGAGCTACCGGACTCAAAAAAGATAATACAAAATGCAATTGCTCTCGTGTAAAAAGGGATTTGTTACGCGGCTAAGTTGTTGTTGGCTGTTTTTCGTCGGCAAAACTTGGGATGTTTACAGCACTGACGAATGTAGTACACCGTACATAAAGCTCTTATTCTAAAAGCCTTTGCCATGGAAGATACATATGTGATTAAAAACTCAAAGTAAAACCTTGTTGATCAACAACATCTCACCCATAGTTGTCTTTGAAAAGTTAAGCCGCCATATTTAACTGTGTTTTGAAAAGTTCACTATGCTCCATAGCATAGTTAACTTTAACAACCTTTTAAATGCAGTTAGCGCTAACTACTTTTTTATACAACCGACTTAACTGCGTGGTTAAATTTAACTACTTTTTAGCTGCAAAAAATGTAGTTTAAAGTAGTTAATAGCTTTATACAACCGGCCCCTGGAGTGTTAATAAGTAAACTCTTGCAGTTCCGGGGAGGGGGACATCAAATAGATGCGAGACGTAGATATTATTTTGTAACCTTTTGTGAATTAATGATAACAAAATTAAGACCAAATATACGGTATCTGAGTCCAATCGATGAACCACTATTCTAATTATATTATAATAGTGGCAACATAGACTGGGGCGTTTATTACATGCAAGGCGTGTATTTGATGGGGTCTTTATTGGAGCATTTTCTGTGGGCTCATTCATCGTGTCTTGCTTGCAACTAATATAATTGTTTGTCAAAATTATTGCATCTTTACTCAATAACTTTCAATTTACGTGTGTGACCTTGACTCACTTGAATTGAAAAGGGGCAGATGTCTCGTCAAAAAAGCTTTTAGCTGTATGTAAAACTCACATAAATTTTTATCGACTTCACTATGGATTTTTTTCCTGTCAAACTACATGGAGTGCAAAAACATTGAGGTGAGCGGCTGTCACCGGCGTGCTGTAGGTTGTTGTTGTAATGATGAATGTTATTCCCAGTGTTTTGTTAAAATAAGCCATGTGGATAAATTACGTCTGTGCAAATGGTCAAAGAACAGCAATTTGGCAAATTATTGGTGATCGCGCTTTGAGCTGGTAAATTGTATCCGTAAAAATGCAATTGAATATACTCGTGCATAAAGGAAAATATATACACCAGAGCCCTAAATACGAAAGGGTTAAAACCGAAAGTAAAATTGCTATGTGTCCGCCATTTTTTGTTCCAAAAGGCGGCAACTATAGAGCATTAAATTGTGGAAAGGCAAATTTTCTGTTGTGTTTTCTTATTCATGAATAGACAGTGATTGATGCGTAGCTTTGGAGTTAGTTGTTTATGGATATCGTTATAATAGAAAAGCGTTTATTTAATGCACTGGATGCAATTTATACTCCTTTAAAGTTGTTTTTGCCACAAGGGAGTGCTTACAGTTATTCGCCGATTTGATTGGTTTGTTGAGGATTGCCTCCCTTGTTTCGCCCAGCTATTCACAATTCACAATAAGTTTCAACTGAGTTTAATAGGAATGTTCACAAATCACCAATGACATTAAATATTCTGACGTACAACAAGTTTACTACAATGTAAGCTACGCAGGTTCTCCTTATATCCTTAACGTTCTTCTGTAAGATGTTCTGATGCTCTAATCTTTTTCTAATGTGCTTATTCTACGTTACATTGGTCTTAGTTATACAAAATGAATAGGAAATTATTACGTATTTATGAGGAAATTATTAAGATAAAAATTGTTAACTCATCTAGTTTTTAAGTGTTAAGTCCCTACTGCGCCTTTTGCTGTAGTTGCTGAATCACTTCCATAACGTAGGTTCGAACATCCCAGATAGTGATGATGCATTTTTGCTTCCCAAATTCTAATATAATGAACTGCTAAACTACAGTATGATTATTTCATCCAAGTTTACGACAGTTTTTATTAACAACGCAACAAAACCATTTTGAATAGTTTTTATACTTTGACTTCTATACAAAAATATATTTGCGCTTGTGGAACAAACGTTGCTGCAAGAACTCATATGACCACATTTAGCCAATCATGAACATAAGGCAAAATGCAAAGAACAAAACGCTTCTCAGCTGCTACAAATACAGGCTCTTCTACGTGTGCACTTCCCGTCTTGGCTCTAATCTTTTTTAAGAATTTTTCACAGATGCATGAGTACTATACAAACATTTTCAAGATGCATCTGCCCGAAACTAAGACCTTAGTCACCCTTTCGAATTGTTAAGTGATTTTGTACTTTGCTTTCTATATTTTTGTAGGAAATGGTCCAATTCATCTGTGTGGGAGTCACGTTCAAGGTAAGTGAAATTATGGGAATGATTCATGTCATTATTATTGAACTTTTGATGTACTTAGGCCGTATTCTGTAGCACAACAAGTCGCTTAGAAAACGATTTATGTTGGCCCCGATCGGGCACTACATTTTAACACGATAGATAAGTAGAATATATCATAGAAAGTATAAATTCACTTGTTTCTACCTCTAAAGACCCGCAGTTTTTGAGTATTTCACCATTGAAATTTCAATAAATTTGATGTATTTCACAATCAATCAACGCCATTTTGATTACGTAATTTTAGGGATACTTGATGTAGGATACGACATTAAATGCAGATTTTCTGCAGTTTTACACTCATTTCTAAATGAAGTTTCCCAACAATCCACCGTTCAGGCAATCTTCAACCAGGAAGCTTTGGATGTTGTTTGACAGTGTTTTGGGAGAGGATTTAAAAGTTTTCAAACTGAACTAAATAGGAAACATGAACTTAAACACATTTGAGATATCATAGACTATTTCTGCTTTAGGAAGAAAACTTTTTTGGGAAAATCTGGAGACTATTGTCGCCCATGCGAAAGACATCAAATTATTGAAATTTCAATGGTGAAATACTTAAAAACTGCGGGTCTTTGAAGGTGGAAACAAGCGGATTATTACTTTCTATGATATATTCTACTTATCTATTGTGTGAAAATGTAGTGCCCGATGGGGGGCATCGAAACTGAACGATAATCGGCCACAGAATACGGCCTGACTGTTGATGATTGAATTTAACAAGAACAGTTGTTCAATAATTCGTTTATATGTCGTTAACCAAAATGAAGAAGTTAACGTTTGTTTTAATTTGGTCGACTTTCAAATTTCAGTGTAAAACCAAAGTTTGTGTTATAGATAGGCATAAAAGTTTAACTCTAACTGCCTAAGAAGGGGGGAGGTGCTAAGAGATGTAGCCCGCCCCCAGATATAAATAGATGGAGGGAAGCCTTTCCCCAATTGTTTTTTGCTACCAAGCGCTACTGCTTTTTCAGTATTGGTTCTGAAATAAAGATCTCTATTCAAGAATGGGAAAACCATCGATACGAACACTCATACTGTCAGCCATTTTAAAAGCTTCCTTCTCTTACACTCTTGGTTACTTGAAGTTCGCACGTTTTATGCCAGAAAGAAAATTGAGCCAAGTTTGTTACCATAATCTTCTCGCGAAGTGCGAATACCGTAACATTCGTAGAGATTATTTCAGATTTACATTTAAAAGAGCTTTGATCATATGAGAAGATATTTATCATAATCAGTAAGCATGACACATGAACCAATTTTAACATTCATGTAATTATATGATTAAAGGCATGTTGGTTACATTCTGTTTGTATTGGCAAATACAATGCTACTGGTGATTGCTATATAGCACACCTTGCATATACTTACAGAAGATAATGGTCTAGTGAAATACCTAATAAACATTAATGGCATTAAGCTGTCCTTAATTGCAAATTTTCACTCTGGTAAGTTTTGCTTAATCTTTGTTAGAAAAAAATTTTGAGTTTTTTCTCAAAAGGTGAATTTTTTCTCAAAAGGTGAATTTTGAGTTTTTTCTCAAAAGGTGAATTTGCTGGTACTGTATGTGGAGATGGGTAAAGGGTTACAATAAACTTGCATGTTTCAAAGTCTGAGCTCTTCTACATCTATGAACTGTCCCTTGTAGTACCAAATTTCTAACTTAACTCCTCACATAGAGGTTTGAATGGGGATCTCTAGGGGGTCTATGCCTGACAACTTGGTAGAAAGCTTTAAAGACAATATCTTTTTGGAATAGCATTATTGTACAATAACTTTTATGTTCCTAGACATGCTAATGAGCCATATATATGACATGATACTGAGCCTAAATGTTTGGCAAAACACTCAAGTATTGTTCACTTCAGTTTTTTTTTGAAAAAAACGTAAGCAAAATGTGTTGTTTTTACGCAAAAACGATGCCCACAAAATGCATTTTGTATTGCTCTAAAACGCTGAAAATGGCATTTCTGAGTCTCTGAAATTCAAAATTTCCCACGGGAGAATGCCTCGGACCCCCCCAGGTGAGGAGACTGATTTTGAAAAATCCTAGATCCGGTCCTGAATATTCTGCAGTAAGTTTTTTGCTCTTTTGTTCCATTGTTCCAGCATCAAGAAAATTTGTCAATTTAGATCGTTAGTAATTGTTTTTAGCGAGCTGTTATTATGATTACATGTTGTTTATAATCTCCGTATGCATTGTATGTTTTAATTAAACTATGAGCAATGAGAACTTTTTTGTTTTACTATTTTAAAACCCACATATTTACACAGTTTAACCATTTTTAACATTTTTCCGGTATGCAAAATACGAGTGGCTTAAACTTTCTAAAATTACAATAAAAAGCGAAGCATTGTTCAACAATTGGATTGTGATAGTATTTACCATAGTATTTGCGCATAATATGTACAAAAAAGTCAAAAAATCATAGTCGGCCATTATAACTTAACATCCGAGAATCGACTTTGCCCCCCAAAAGACGCGTACTATATTTTTGGAAGATAGATTATATTACGATACCACCTCTAGTATTATTTATAATCTCTATTATAACATTGACATCGGTCTGAAAAACTTTTGATTCCATGCCTATCCAATAATCGTTAATTATAGTACAGGGAGGGTGGAGTCTTCATTGTGATTGGCCAATGGCCAACAGATAAGTTTCAATATTTTGCCACTTAAAAACTTCCTCGAGATTTGCTAGCATTTTACAAATCGTTTTCGCTCTATTATAAGGACGCAAAAAACACGAATTGGGCCGAAGTCAGTCTGACAAATTTTCAACATGTGTTTTAGGGGAAAACACGAATGCGATCCGCTAAAATAATTTTTTGGATGTTTGTTGATGTATAACATCCAGGTAGAGTCCTGAAAAGGACTGTTGGTGTTGTTGTTGACTGATGCTTCGACAATCTTAGCGGTGGTCATCTGTAGACGATCGCCGCTTTGACGATAATTACCGCTAAGTTTGTTGAAACGTCAGTGAGCATAAACACCAACAGTTCAAAGAACTCTACTAACTAGGACGATGTACATCTACAAATATCTAGCAATACTCCGACTTCAAACCATTCACTTCAAAACAATTTTATGTCGAAGGACTAAAAACTTTATTGTTTCCATACAATAGTTAAATGCAATTATAATTTCATTTCTCTTCGGCAGATAACAATTACCTCAATCAGAATAATTCTTGATATCCTCGCTCAGCCTCATTTAATATTATGCAAAAAAATATTGCTATATATGAAGAACTAGGGATCCAAGGATAGTGCAATGTTTCTTGGAAAAAATGTTCTTAATCATGGCAAATAAAATTAGTTTTAAGAAAGCTTAGTATCGAGCCTTGGCGTTTCAAAAAATGCTAAACTGAAATTCATTTCGAGAAGTATCAGTTTGTTTTTTGACATTACAACTTGCTCCAAGATTGCGTAAATAAACGTTAAATTGTATACGCACTTACGTTGCCGATACATAATAAGGACATTTGGCACGCCACAATCATACTTTCATCTTTCATGCATCGCATTCTTTTGTTATTTCTATGCAGTATGCATTACTTTCTTTGTTTCGGTTATGTTGTATTTTTTTTATTCTTCTGACACATGTGAAATTTATGTGTTCAGAAGAACAAAATGCTTTGTTTGCGATATTTTTTAGCTCTAAATTCCACCTAATTAAATAACAAGGATCGGAGTAATAAAATGCAACAATGTTCGATAAATATTTACGTTGTACAATTTGCATCAGTTGGTGAACAAGTCCAGTTTTCGGCAAGTTTGCGTAAGTGAACGTTCATTTCGTATTGCACTTTCATAGCAATTACATGAAAGTCGACAAATTCATACAGTCGTACATGACTTTCATATAATATTCTAAAGAAATCCACATGCTTTCTTCAAGGACAGTAATAGTGCATTTTATTTCTTGTAAAATGTTCCTTACAGAGGCAGATGTGTGCGCAACTTTCAATTTTACTGTCGTATGTTTAAGACCAATACACTAACACGTAGTGTATGAGTGTAGTTAGACCAGAAGTTCAGAGCAGGTTGCTAAATAATCAGCGCTAGCCAAGTACTTGGCAAATACGGCAATACGGCCAATTAAATGCCAATTATGTTCACGTTCTATATGAACACGGGCTTACAAAATCTTCACAATATTTGTCAACAGTGCCAGCATTAACGAAAAGCATTACTGACTGACTGACCAACTGACTCGTGTGAAATTTCGCCACTCACCACAACAGCACAAAGTTCCTATGGAAACTTGCACTAATAACGTTTTAAAAACACGGGTGCTGATTGGTCGAATGCTCGAAAAAACCCTGTTCTATAACTTTATAATGCACGAGAACTCCAGTCTCTTAAAAATCTCGCAGGTTGCGTGATTTTTGCAGATAACTATAACTGCGAAAACGTGTGCAATATGTTATTTATTAATTTATCTTTTTAATTTATCTTTTTAAGGCCTTATTTGAAAGGCTATTTAATAATAGAAATAGAAAAGGTTTTACTCGTTTCTAATGAGTTAAAGAAACAATTGTGAATGCTTGCGAGAAACTAGAAATTGCTTGGATACAGTCGAACTTAGAGCTCATGTTTATTTCTTTAATAGTTTTAGTGGGAGGAGATGATGACGATGATAGTGACGATCAAGACGATGAGCACTCAGGTGAGAAACTCAAATGTTATCACTGTTGAAAAGCATCTGAAACCATTTTGTTGTATCGTTACATCGAGTTTTCTAGTTCTTAGGGCGTAATGAATTAAGATTTTTATGGGTCGTTGACATAGTAATTACATAGAAGTCTCGGTCTAGCGTTTGTTCGACTTAGTGCAAGATAGCTGTATGACATTTTGCTTTGTTCTTTGGGCTTTTTATTTGTTTAAATAATGTTAAATTTAAAGTAAAGTATATTCAATTTAGCGTTGAAGAGCTATAATATATTTTGACAAACCTGAAAGTATACTTCAGCTGTTGTTTTTGTTTTGTTCAAAATGTTACGTGTAATTCTTGTTAGTTCTGATGCAATATTGTCCTGAAGGGTTTTTTCATATTATGCAATTGCTTTTGCCCGGCCCTTTGCAGTTTGCATTGCCTGTCTTTGAAAATATTTACAATTGAATGTGTATTGTTATATTTTCTGTAGACCAAATTCTGGCACCTCCAAAACGTTCGGTAAGAGAGTGCGTATGACGAAGAAGATTTTTTTTTTTGTTTTGCTGCCGCATAATTGTAAAATATTAAGTGTATGGGTGCTGTCATGTATATCTTGGTGTTACATGTAAGAGTTTTAGGATAGGTGGGGAATTTATCGTCATTTTAGATAAACTCCGAGAGCCTTGAAACCTTTAGCACAAAAGGCATGCATATATGGGAAAGTCAAATTCCGTAACTGTTTTGATTTAAATTAAACGTTTTTTCAGCCCGTAAAAGAAAAACGGTCTCCATCAACAAAAAAACAAGCAGGACCTCCTTCTAAAAAGGCTCGGTTGGAAAACGGTATTCATTCTGCTTCCTGCACCTTACTTTTTGCCGGCCATTATATTATAAATCTGTGGATAAAAAATGTATTCGGTTTTATTTGTTGTAGCTACGTACATTATATAAGGTTAGGTATAGCCATGTATGAGTAGTGTAACTTAGAGAAGACATGAAACGAAAACTTTTTTTTATTTTCTTAGAACATATTTAGACATTTTAGCGAATATCAGATGTTTATCAGCAACACGTGTCGTAGAAATTGCCATATTCCAACCTAAAAGTTCGTCTTGTAATACGAGTTTCATTCGCCGCCGTGTTAGACCAACATGACGTCATGACGTCATGACGTGTTATGAAGTCGCGGAGCTAAAGTCAATTTTATGTCATCAAGTTGTTTTTGCTGATTTTCTGTGGATTTATTAGGCCATCACATTTAATTTGCGTAAAGTCTATTCCCAAATTATTGAGTCGACTTGCAAATTAAAATAGTTTCTAGAACTCTAGAGTAAAAACAGAATGGTTTAAATGACCAAAAAAATGGTGGTTTGATTACACGTGAGACAACCAGTTCTGAGTGGTTGGTTTAATCAAAGCAACCAATTGGTCGTATAAACCAGTGAAGAATTGGTCATTCTGGCCAAATCAATACAACTGTAAGAATTTGGTCATTTTTCACCAAAAAATAATATGTTTTATGTTACCGTGTGTTGTTGACACATTTTTAATTATTATTTTGACTAATTCAAAATAAGTCTAAAATATGTCGTTAAAAACTTTGTTCTCAAACAACATTGTTAAGTCGTTTTTTGACCTCAGTCTAACATTTCTTGCTATCAAGATGCAGTAATCGCCTTCACTATATAATATGTTTTTTACATATGTCTTCATAAAGGCGAAGATAAATCGAAATCAAAGTCAAAGAAGACTGCTGCCAAGGTAACCCTACTTGAGTCGCGTTTATATGCATTCTGTATTAAACAGACTTAACAGTTAGGAGAACGTCGCATAATCTATCAGCTCTCAAGATTTGCAAAAACCTTTGGTTTGGTAGTTCGACTTCCAGTGGCTCATCTGGCAGTAAAATTCTCGCAAACAATAATAATTTTAGGGTGAGATTTGTGTTACAGAGAAGCACTTTTGAAATAGTTTGCGCACGTAAATGGCACGGTTAAAAAGCACGTGGTGTTCATTTCAACGAAATTTGGCCAATACGTTCGCCAACGCTTAGCTTTCAAACTGCGGGTTATTTTCGATTTTAATGTTGTTTTTCAATCTTCATCAATTATTCATGAATATGATCTTAAATTAATGAAAACACGAATTTTCAGCGTAGGTTTGAAATCGTGCGCGGATGGAAAAATGCTCAGATCTTGCGCGCTGATCACTTTCGCGAAGTTTTCATTACTGTTCAGTTTTTTTTTATTTATTTTGTATTGTGTGAAGATTGTTTTCACCTTTTCATCTTCGATTATCGATTATGACAAATGTCATCCTTCTGTTAAAGTGCCACTGTGACGAAAAATAGAGTTATCATTTTATTGCATTTTTTGAAAATAAAGAGTTGATTAAACACACTCGCCAAATTTTAGCAAAAAATACCATTTTTATCCACGTTTTTCAAACATGCAATTTCGCGGCCGCCATTTAAAAACTGTCATTGAAGAAATGGGACATTTATCCGGTATGAAAACGTCATTTACTCAAGGAGCTTGTCCCCGTCGAACAAATACCATTGAAATACAATGCGCTTTAGCTTCGCAATATAAAATTTAAAAATATTTTTCTGTTTTTTTTGCGCTCAATTTTTTAAACTATGTAATTTGACGAAAGTTCAGAAAAAAAATGAACACTCCAAATCGTGTTCTGAGCCGTCTCTGCGAAAATGCTTACACACTCAAAGAAAATTTCGCTGAAGCTTATGATTCTTTCATTAAACCTATATGCTACAGCTACTTGGACAGGGCATATGGAATATTATCAATAGCTATGCGTGCGACAGTAAAGGCGAGAACTAAGTATTATCTTATCAATTATATAGAGTCAATTGTAAGGTGTTTATATAATTAATTAAGTATTCTGTTTAGAATTGCAGGCATTTTCGAGGGTTAACAAACTTTGTAAGTGTAACTGGAACTTAGAATTTGTCGTGAAACATAGCGCGTGTCTGCTGTTTCGTAAATTGTGCCCTGCAAAAAAAATAATAGGAGATGTTTCATTCAGCACCATGGTTTTGAACCAGTACGTTAAAATATTTGGTTCCTGAAAACTTTTGGTTTGAATTTCAAAACAAGTTCCAAAGGATACAAGAACTACATGATTTTTATTTCTTACCACAAGGGAAAAAAATGAATTCGATGGTACAATTCGAGAGAAGGTAACATATAGTATAAGGTAACAAATAGTGTTTAAACTTATGGTACGTAGCCAATGGTGAATTTTTAAACGATTTTTGAGGCTGTTGCATATAAACTAATAGTCAGGCTAATGTGGGACTACATTAGAAGTTCAAAAAGACGTCCACTTTCTTGCTTTGTACATGCTACAATAAGAAAACTTTTTTTGGCTGATACAGTATGATGTGTTTTATTACGACTCTGATGAATAATTAAAATTTAACTTGCTGCGTCAATGAAAAACACATTGCATGCAGCTCAACAAAAATTTTCAGTGAATATACCCACCAAATATAAATTAGTTTTCTGATTGCTTCAATGAACAATATGCTATAGCTATAGAAATGGAAAATCTACACTCTGTAGAATCTAATGAGCCAATAGTTATTTTTGTCAGTATTGTCTTATTGATCCAATCAGGAAACCAAATTGTAACTGAACTTTTTTGTTGAACTGCATGCAATTATTTTTTCATCGACACCAAAATAAATTTGAATTATAAATCTGAGTCGTGTTAAAACCAGTAGTACTGATCAGTTCTTTTAGCCAAAAAAAATTTCCTATTGCATATACACAGCAAGGAAGTGGGTCTCCATTTGAACGAATAGAGTAGCCCTACACTAGCCTGACCACTAGTCTATTAAGAAGTATTTGTTACATATATCACTAAAAGGCAAGTTTAATACCTTCAAAAACATACTTGGATTCAGTTTTCCCTTATGGTATACCATAAGGGAAAACAATCTTGTTTATGGTATAAACAAGATTGTGTAGTTCTTCCGTACTTTGGAGCTTGTTTTATTATTTAAACCAGCAGTTTTCAGTAGCCAAATATTTTAGCACACTGGTTCAAAACCTGGGTGCTCAATAAAACAACTCCCCTCCATTTCTATGTCATTATTTTTTCTTTGCCGAGCACAATTTTCGAATCAATAAAGACACCCGCTATGTTACACGGCAAATTCTGTAAGTTCCAGTTGCCACATTTACACCTACGTAGTGTCTAAAAACTCGATTATTTATACAATAATATACAGAATACTCTACAAAACACCATTCAATTGATTTTTTTATGCAGACAAAATTACCAAGTTTCTCCCCAGATAATCGTAAAGATAATTCTTAATTCTTGCTTATGACGTTGCACACTCAACTCTTGCTAATACTCCATATGCTCTGTTCAAGCGTTATCGAAAATAGACGGCTCAGAAGACGATTTGGAGTCTATACTTGTTTCTGAACTTTCGTCAAAGCATTTTAATTATGAAAATGGAATTTTACGCTAAAATATGGCGAGTGTGTCTAATCTAGTCTTTATTTTCTAAATATGCAATAAAATGATGGCACTTAAAAGTGTGCAACCCACTAAAAGTTTCAATTATGGCTTGTAAGGAGCTCTAAATGACAACGGACGGTTTCAAAATGGATTTTGGAAAGATGTGTATGTATTTGATCCCGTAACTATGAATATGATTGGCGGAAAACAATATGTCATTAGAAAAACTTAAATTTCGTCCGTAGTCTTTTTAATATTGGGCAAGGTTTTTGGTTTATGTTGCACGTAGAGGGCAACGCATAAGACACTTGATAATAAGAAATTTCCTACTGACTTATTTAATGTTCAAATAAAAATTCGAATCACATTGTGTGTATAGGTAGCTATGACTTTTCACAATATTTAGCTTCATACTAGTTAGTCGATGCCTGATGACTTGGTTCCTGCTAAGTTTTAAAATTGATGAACGATAAATATAATATGTTCAAGGTGGCGCCACAATTTTTTGTATCCTGTTTTATCGGAAAGTACTTGCTTCAAGAGCATATTTATGCAAATAGAATTAAAATTGGCCTTTAAGACCAATTTTATAGCCGTCAAACGAGGCGATTTTCTTTCTTTCCTGTGCGAAAGTTTCTGGCCGCCATGTTTGCTAAATTGAAGTCATAGCTAATGAGTAAGCATTCTCCATATAGCATAGAAATCACTATTACTTCTACGACTTCCTTACTACTTATGACGTCAAATTAGCGAACGTGGCGGCCAAAAAAGTTTGGACAAAATGCCGATGGAATTGCAATTTGTCAAGTTCCACTTAACCTAAAATTGACGTAAATATATCAAATTCTTTGCTACCAACGACTATTCTTTAAGCTAGTAAATAAGAATGTAAAAATTTCACTTTATAAACACTTTGAATACGTGTACATTTTCGTGTCATGTTTATATTTACAACGAATGTTTGAATTTTCGCTAAATTTACTACATCTTAAAGGCTGATGCAAGCGATGAAGAGGAAGATTCTGGAGATGATGATGAGGATGATGACGATGACGATTTCGATCCTGATAGTAATGACGATGAGGAGGTTGATGACGATGATGATGAAGAAGATGACGAAGACGACGATGACGATGACGATGATGACGAAGATGATGATGACGATGATGATGATGACAATGAGGACGACAGTGACGAAGAGCTAGTGTCGCCTAATGTAAGTTTTGTTTGGCTTACGTTCTTTCACTGTTTTGATTTTAATTGTAGAGTAATTATATTGTTGTTGAAGTTTTATAATTGTCCTTCTTGACCTTTCGAAACTAGATCGCTAATTTGTGTAAAAGACCGAAACTAAAATACACGAATAATCACCTCCCGTCCCTTCCTCACGCCCTATCCATTTCAGTTTCAAGATATTTTTGAAGCCTTAAAAAATATTGCTATCCTGTTGATATAGCGATTTGGTCTTTGTGCAACCGGCTCATGTTTTGTCTTGTCAAGAATGTTGGATCTTTACCATTGGGGAATCCAGCCTATCTTTTACTTCTACAATGCAAATTTTCCGCATAAATATTACGCGTTTCTATAGGAAAGTAATTCCCTTTATTGTTGTTTTGGTGATTAAACAAAAAAATAGTTGCATTGTAGGAGCAAAAACTGGCTGGCTTTGCTTCTGATCTCTATTAGTTGTAGCTCAACGTTTATAGCATTGCCTAGAGATTATTTGAGCTTGTTAAATGTCAACTGCGTTGTATTTAGTTTTATTTGATTATCAGGACAAAGAAATATTAAGAAAGCCCTCTTATAATTCCGTTGACAAAGCTGTCAACTTTTCACTTCTTTTCACGTGAGGCCCGTTTCCAATTACGCGAGAAAATTCTTCACTAAGCGAATAATTTCCAGGTAAAAATGGGCCTTAACAGTTATGTTGTTTTTCTGTTTCCTGAATGATTGCCCGATACAAAGCTACGAATTTCTCGTTGCTTGCCTTTGCATGGTTTAATTATAATTGCTTTGCAAAAGGAGGAAATACTTGGAACTTTTCTCTGCCAACAAAATGGCCGTCACGCTATGATTTGGTTGACAAACATACTTCAATTGGAAATGGTTTTGAACTGTTTCAAAAATATTCTCTTGAGCGTTTTTTGAATTGTCAACAATTCGCTTCATCAAAGTGTAATTTTTGTAATTTTTTTAATAGGCTAAAGGAAAAACCCAACCACAAACTTTGAAAAATTCATCTAAGAAAGCTGGCACGCCGAAGATATCGCCTGGAAAAGACAAGAATTCGAAATCCATAACGCCGAAAAAAGGGCAGGTACGACTTTAAAAACAACGAAACTGGGCATTTCATTTTCATAGACAATTATGATATGTTTTATGGACAGTTTATTCTAAGGGCCTCTTCACAATGGTAGGGCTGGCCCTCTACCGGGCTGTCTCGCCCGGATTTAGAAATCAGTCTTAGGGCCTGTTCATATGAGCCCGGGTAGCCGGGATTCAGCGAAGCGCTTAATCATTTTAGCAAATGGAAAAGATTAATTCCTTCACAACAAAAAACGTATTTAAGCAATTTCTCTATGTTCTGAATTTGCAAATTCACAAAACCTTTAAAATGAAAACAAATAATTTGGCCAGATTTGAAAATTACAACTAAAATGACTCGTGATTTATAAGAAAGATTGTAAGTTTTGCGTTTAACGTTTTTACTCCTTTCAATATCGCAAAATCATTTCACGTCTCGCTGAATCCCGGTTAGCTGGGCTCATGTGAACAGCCCCTAAAACCCTGATATTTCGTGTTACTTTTATAAGCTGAATAAAAATTAAATGAGGTTATGCATTATCAACTTCGTGAATGAATTACATATTTATTTCCTCCTGGGAATTCGACATAATTTCTAACGGCAAAACATGCACAGCAGTGCACCACTGGGTTTAGCCTTGTAATCAGCCATTCAAATTTCACAATATGTTAGTTTCAAAGGCCTTTATTTTATTGATATTCATTACATGTCATGCAGGCTATAATCTTTTTATTCTGTATTACAGTATTACTGTATTTGCTTGTTTGAGCGCCGAACCTGAAAAGCGCTTCTCTCAAACGACCGCTGCATTTGCAATCAATATTTTTCAAAGAACGCCGCCAGCGATTAAGCGCATAGTAATTGCATTAATAGAAATAATGGTCACACCTTCAAAATGTTTGAAGACGGCCAAAACAAAATCACCAAAAATCCTAAATGATCTCGAAAGTTTATCTTCTCGTAAACACATTGTGAAAATTTGGTGCTCAAACAAGTAAATACGGTATTCCTACAAAACTGTTGTAAGATTCAAAATAGCTGTATTAAGTTGTTGTTTTTTTTGTATAAAAATTCGTCGCTATAAATATCGTAACCACTACGACACTATTGAATCTGCCGTATAAAATAAGTTATTTTTTGCGGATGATAACATGTATATGTGAATATTATCCACCACCCCAACCCCCAAATTATTGACGCTGGCTACGGCAACTGTCCCTGTGCGCAAATATGCTCGTGTTTTGATAACGCCATGTTGGAGGTGAGATACAAAATAATATATTATTACTGCAATTGTAAGCTCCAGCCGGTGGTGGCCAACGTTATGGTTTTCTAAGCCCCCCCTCTGTTTGATTGAAACCCAAGGATTTTTTTGTGTTCGCTAATTATAACAGCAATAGTTTTCTAACAAAAAAAAACGAATGATGTAAATAATGCAATTTTTGCATAAGAGTAGTATATCTGCAAGTGTGCCTCTCCTACTTTGCTACTCACTCATCAATTACGTAATTTAGACCCCACAGAAGGTGGATGCTTCAGTCAAACTTCCCAAAACTCCCGACCTGAATGCAGTCAAGCAAAAACTTCTAAAGGTTTGTTCACAGCATTGTTTGGTTATCATAGAGTCTTGAAATTAACCTCCATCTGAAGGTAACCGTCCACTCGAAAGTGACCTCTCTCTTTATAGAACTGTCGAGAGCTTCATAACAGTCATACTTTTATTCAATGCAAATTTGTGTCAATTACATCAAATTTATACAACTTTAAACGCATTAAAAAGTTTCGTTTCTAAATCATGGATTAAGAGTTGACCATTGGAATTTACTTATTCTGAAAATAACAAGATGAAACTGGGCAACACTCCCCCCTTCCAAAATAACCGCCTCTTGAAGGTATTAACTTCCAAACTAAAAGGGCGGCTTCTTTCGAGACTCCCTGATGTACTGCATGCAAAGAAGTACATTGATACTGTTACAAGTATACTGTTTCATGCGAAGATTTTTTTATGATTTACTTTATGTTTAGTCGCCCAACCTCCCGAGGAAAATAGAAAAATTCAAAAATTTTATGAAAACGAATATGAGAATTACAGATGATGCGGTAAGATGTTTTTTATTGTCAAAATTGTGTCCGGTTATCATGGCTGTCAGTGAATCAACTTTTATATCCGTCCAATAACACGGATATAAAATTTTATGTTGGGATATCTCGTAATTGAAGATACGGTAGGTTTTTCAAAACAACAACGGCAACATTCGTCATGTCGATAAACGGGATACGCGTGATTACGCTTAAGCCGAAGTTAATAATAATTCCGACATTAGTAGTGTCGATAAAATAAAATAAAATAAAATAAAATAAAGTATTTTCTCTTTCCACAGATTTGAACTGTCAGAAGCAAAGCGTATAGTTGACTGTTCAAATATCTGTTTTGCTTTGACAAAAAGTTCACCCATATTTTTTCTTTTTTCCTTCGAGCTGGTCATCTTTGAAAAATTAAATCGCGTGAAGACTTCTAGCATCTTTAAGACTGGCCCTATTAGTACAATAAGCAATAACACCACTGTAAATCATCTTTTTTAATGATATATTTTGTGGACGCTTTGTATAATACAGTGATTTAATGCTATAATAAAGTGATTTAGCAAACACGACTTTTCAATCCCCTACAAGCATATTTCTTTTTTGAAATGACAATCATGCCATTTTTCAACTGCCATGAAAATTGAACTATTGAAACTGAATTTAAACTCGGTTTACGCTTAAGTACTACAGAAATTATGCAAAGATTTGAGATAACAAATTGATAAAAAAAAGATAAATAAAATTTATGTATGAACGATAAACATGTTTAAATTTTTCGTGGATTATCGTATGATCTTCCATAAGCAAAAGAGGGATCAGGATAGCTTTTGTTAACATAAGATACGAATTTTCTAATCCTCTCTAAAAATACTAGAAATATTGCTTCACAGTTTGATTTTGCTGGATGTTTCACGAAAAATAAATTTGAAAATCGTTGTAAAGATCGCAAATACCATGGTGAATGGTAAAAGTAATAAGTTAATAGTTCTTAATAGAACTGTTTTAAGTAAAGAGCACTAACCCAATGGTTTTAATAATTCTAAACAGTTCTTTTAAGAACTATTAAGTTATTACTCTTACCATTCACCATGGTAGCTATTGGCGATCTTTAAAACGATTTTCAGATTTGTCACCACGACAAAGTCTCTGTTTTATTATTTAAGAAAAATAAATTGAATTCTCTGCCAAACGCCTTTGCTGGACGAGTTTTCGATGTAGTTTATACATACATCAAAACAAACTTTTTCATTATGTATCTTTTTTCCAAACAGACTGTGAAAGATCTGTGGTCTTTCGTACAAGCGAACAAGAAATGAAACTCTTGCTCGTGGCTGTCAACAGTTCGTTGCCTAAAGTTTGTAATTTCGTGGAAACTGATCACCGCAAAATATTCGTGCAATTGTAGTCCAAGAAAGATTACACACTTTCAATAAATATACGTATATTTACAAATATGTTTTGTTTTATTATTTTATGTCGAGTTATTTTTAAAAGGAAAAAACTTATTTGCTGTTAAAAAACGTGTTCAAAGCTCTTTTGTCGTTGACAAGTTAACACTATACAGATGAAATCGCTCTCCCCCGAAGTTAAATGTGAGTGCTAACCGCGTCAAGCCGAGTGAATCACAACCTTAAATCCGTTAAAAAATCACTCTTGCTCTTTTGTGAGTGTTGGATTCAGTACCAGTAATACGAGTGATATGGCGATTTCACCTCTTCCTTACATACGGGCTTCGAAGTCGAGCAGAATTCCAAGTCCCATCAATATTACGTGACGGTCTTATTAGATTTCTACTCTTGAGAAGGGCAACCAGATAAACGCTAGTCTTCATCAGTACAGTTTATTCTCCTCAACGCAGTCTTCAAGATTAGAAGTTATCTTGCACGTCCTACGTAAACATGTAAGTTCCGTATTCCAAATTCCATATTAATTTACCACGGCAACATGACTGAAGCTAGGAGAAAGTATAAGCAGGTAATTCTATTATTATTCACTATGTGAGAATTCTCGGCTGTGATTGGTCAACTACTTGCAGATAATCTCGACATCTGCAATCATGACGTCATACCTACAAATATGGACGCCATTAAAAGCCTGTTTTGAAAAATCAAAACGATGTTTACCACAGTTTCTAAAAACGATAAGCAGAAGCTTTTAAACGAAAAGGATGTGGAAAACACTAAAAACGCGGCGAAGCTGGCTTTGAATACATTTACAGCATATATGAACGAAACGAGCTTGAATAAATCGTCTGAAAAAAAAATTAGCGAAGGTTTGAAAAATGTTTTATATCGATATGTTTTAATAACACTTCAGTGAATAATAAAACAATTAAAACAATTATTGAATTCGTTTTTCACATTGCATCAAGAATTATTCAGACCCCGGTCAATCATATCCGCCTTAGCTCTCCCCTCCTCTCCCCATGTATCCTAATAACATTGCATGTATTGTATTGTATAGTAGACTTCCTAAATATTACCAGCATTGACAGGGGCCGGTTGCACGAAGCCTGGATAGCGTTATCCATTGAACAGCAATTTTTTAACTTTTATAAAACCTTTTAAAAAGCAAAAATATAAGATTCGAATTGAACAATCACTGAAATGAAGATTATGCACTTTCTTTGCGAGAAAAATATAAACACCTTTTTTACAAATAGGAAAATTTTCGCTTTCCAAGCTTTGTGCAGCCGGCCCCAGTATTATATGTCATACATGACAATACAGGAAGATGAAGTTCATACAAACCTGTCTGTGTTATTGTTTGGATCACAATAGCAATGGTCTTTCAACGAACTCAGCTGGTTCTTAAAATACTTTTCGAGTCTTTCGTGGAGTTCTTTTCACCACCTCTCAATATGTATTTCAATACAACACTGATAAGTTATACGTCCAAAAAGTTCATGCTGTAATTCATCATTGTCCACTTACCTAATTAGAAGTAGAAGGTCCGTATTGGGACTGTGTCACAATGATGTATGTCATTGTGATGTCTTCATAAGAACGCATTATCCCAGTTTCATTCCCTTTGTCCATCCTAATAAACACTGATATCTTCCTTGTCTGATACAATTAGTCAAAGTACCAATTAGCATGGGATCAGAGTTGCTCACCCAAACTCGAAACCACACCAACTTACGACTTGCAGCATCAATAAACTCGTAAACAGCTAATAGATACGCACTATTCTGGTAGCCCATCAACATGTCGTGACAATCAACCGAATGTACAAAGTTTGGTCCTTTAGTCGCGAAATGATCTTTAAGTTTTCTTTTCTTTGAACCTATGAACGCCCAACAAGCCCCCGGGATCCAATTCATACATGACCACATGAACAAGGTAGTAGATATCGTGCAGCTTTGTCACACTTTTATCACAGAGCTCTTACCCGTGCCAATTAGTTTCCAGACTTTGGAAGTTAACCGAACGCGTGTCATTTGGGAAATGTGGTAAATGAACGAGGCTTCCCACTGGATGGCGTGAAAAATTGGAAATACGACAAAGCTGGAAGCTGCTTGCTGTTGGTAAAGTAACATTAGATCCGTTTCCTTTTTTTCATTCTAAGGTAAAAACGGGAGGATGACGAGGCAATTACGTTTCATAGCTTACACTTACGAAAGCTTTACATTTTATTTCTTGGAAAGAATGGAAACTTGATAGAAAAAGTTAAACCATCGCACATTGTTCTGAAAGAAATATAAAAACATGTATGAATTTCCTGCATTCATGTTAGCACTTCATATACGTAAACGATGTAATATTACATAGAAATAAAAACATTTTACGATAACTACAAGCAAATTAAAAACTTACTTGATGAAGTCTTTGATAAGACGATCCGTCTCTGATTCCGAAATATTATAGGAACGAAAAAAATTGTAGGAATGAAAAAAATTAAATAAACACAATGTCTTCCTTGCCAAACATACTGGTTATCACATCAGTAAGATAAGCATGGCCACATGAAGCCTTGACCAAAAAATCATAACAGTGATCACATTTTTCTGAAAATAAAACCGGCGTGTTTTTTAAAGTTGATAGCTACATTGACCCTAAGGAACGGAAAAATGATAAACGGTACTTACTGAAGGTATAAAAGTTTCCAGTGCACGACGATGATTGTGGCGAGGTCATCCTTCGCTTTGCATGTTTGTATTTTTTTGCAAAGTTTTTATGGTCACATACACAAAAGCTTTTAGCGTGGTAAATGGTTTAGAATTGCTTCGCTTGCGCCTGAAGATGTGACCTTCATTGCCATCTCGCAAATGTAAATTAAAAATTACCATTGAATAGTATGACCTTGAATAATGATGTGTGTATAAGATCCTTCGTGGTGTGCGAGATACTTCTGAGGGAAATGTGCAGTAAATGATAAGAACCCTCTGGAAAGAAATCTAACAATACGAATAAAGGAGTGGGTTGAACAAAAAAAATGAGTCAATAAAAAAAATGAAAAGAAAAGAAAAGAAAATGAAAAGAGCCTTTTGCATATTGCCGACCAACATGATGTAGTAAATGATAGTGATGATGCATGATAATGTGAAATAAGAATCGGCATGATCATGAGTCAATACTGAAGGGGAAAATCATGTTGTTAAGATAAGATCCATTAGTTGTTAAGATAAGATCCATTAGATAAGATTAAGATCATACAGAGGGAGGTGACGCGTAAAATTTTAAGAAACAATTGGGGATATCAAACAATGTACCTAAAATGGAGTTACCGATTTGAGCAAGCATGAGTCTTTCACGTGAATGGGATTCTATTCAATTCTTTACTCACAGTGTGAATGAGACTTCTTATTCTTCAAAGAAAATTACGTTTGTAAATGATCATTTATGTGCAAGCCAACACTTTAAAAACGGGGTGAAAATGTTGTTGCTGCACTTTAGCTACAGCAGTGCTTCATAAACGAGTTAAATCTGTTAGACAGAAAATAATTTGATCATCATGGTGTCGATTGAAAAATATCCGTGTTTCTGTGGTGTAGGCCTCGAGAGAATCGTGTCTATGAACTAGTTGTTTCGGAGAAACCAGTTCTCAGGTATTAGTTGATGTACAAAATGAGTCAAGATCACTTAGAGCTTTTCTTTTTAGCTGTACGAGCGGCGGGTGGATGGAATAACAATCCAACACCACGTCAGTTTAAAGCTGCATACAAGCAACTATTGATGAGAAATAACATCAAAGGAGGACATGGAAACTGTATTGCTCAAGATAGCACTGAAATCTTGACAAAAGTAAATGATCGTTGCGAGACAAATGAAATATCGGCAGATATTTCCGATGTGACAACGGCAAGACGATATGATATGAAGTTACGACAACCAATACACCACTTTGGCGGTTTTCATATATGTGGAAACACGTGTTTGCTAAAGAGAAAAACTCGGACAAACATGGCGGAGTAATTTTATAACAATGGTTACGACGAAGAGGTGCGCTTAGGGAACCTGCAAAAGCGATTCGCGGTATCCTGATCGTTTAAAACGAGGCGCAAGTAGAAGCAAAGTATTTTTTTTACATTTTCCTGGGGAGAAATACCATAGCGACAAGCGAGAGCGCTGGATTCGTGCGTGTCATCGAGGTGACAGATTTGTGTGTACGAAAGACAGTTATATCTGCAGTCTTCATTGTGTGGGAGAAAATGGTCCTACTGTAGATAACCCAGACCCTATTTCAGCGATACAAAGTATTGAGAATGTAAGTGTTGCCTGCTTTTTTGTCATAAATGTGTGAATTATACGAAAGCTTGCTAAACGTTTTATAAGCTTATACATTCATTTTAAATTCATATAGAGAAGAAAACTAACGGGAAAACGAAAAAAAAACAATGACGAGGGTATATAATCCGCCACCAAAATGAGCGTCAATCTCCAAAAAAGATGCAGCAGAGGCTCTTCTTCGCTTGAGCGAAAGGGAACACGCTAAAAGAGACGCAGCTGACGCCCTCCTATCCTTATGTGAAAATAGTACAACATCCCGTGATATCCAAGAGGACCAAGACGAACTTCTTCTTGTTGTAAAGAAAAAAGATGCTGCTGTTCAAACCAACCTAACTAATGAACATCTTAAAACTTATGCGACTGAGTCATTTGTTAACACCAGCAGTATACAGAAATGCATGTTTTTAGAAAATGTGGTTAATGATTCAGCCCATTATACAGGTATAAAATTTCATTTTTTACTATGTTGATTATAACGGGATATAATTGCTTATGTTGGAAGCTAGTGGAAATAATAAAGGACTTTGTGAAATGTTGAAAATACTTTTTGAGTTCGTGAAAGCAAAGGCTTCCAGGCTTATCAAATGGAAAGGGAAGAAAACAGCATGACTATTGTGACGTGCCCAACTTCATTGCTCTGTCTGAGTATAAGGAAGCAGCTATATCTTACATTGCTGGCTATGTTTTTAAAATGGTTGTAAGAAAGATCACTTGCCAAGATTGTATTGCTGCTTTGCATACATCGAAAAACAGGGCTCCAAACCTCTTTGTGTCTTAGAAGAGTCATGGTGGCCTAAAAATACCAACTAATGATCTTCTAAAAGTGTGTCACAAGACCGAGAAATGCGTTATGCGAATGATTAATTCTTGCAGCGGAAGTTTGCCACATGTTCGCATATCACAGGTGCAATCTCCAACACTGTTTTGACTGAATGCGTGGAGAGAAAAGTTTTTAGTTCATTGAACCAGCATGTACTTGATTTTGTTGTTACAGAAGATCATATCTTAAAGTTGATTAAATGTTGTTGTGAAGCTTTCGTGAAGATATGAATGCATCATCTGTGTAAGACAGAGAACGATAAAAACTGAGCAAACTAGTATTGTTCAAACATCAGTAGAATTTAAAACAATTACTCGTGTGACCGTATTAGTTATGTTCACGTGCATGTTACATGAGTGTTACTGGGCACATTTGTGCTTTCTAGGTCCCATAGCTTTACGCACGTACGTGTTATATGGGTGTTACTGGGCACGTTTGTGCTTTCTAGGTCCCACAATTTTACGCACGTACGTGTTATATGGGTGTTACTGAGCACATTTGTGCTTTCTAGGTCCCATGATTTTACGCAGTTACGTGTTATATGGGTGTTACTGGGCTCGTTTGTGCTTTCTAGGTCCCATGATTTTACGCACTTAGTTGTTATATGGGTGTTACTGGGCACGTTTGGGCTTTCTAAGTCTCATATGCCTGTTACAAGACATAATAATTCCATATGTCTTTCGTGCACGAAATATGAGCGTCTTAGCATATAGAATGCAAAAGTAACTGCGATAATGCATCTTTAAAGTATTTATTGTTACCAAGTAAGCTAATCAATATTCTCTAATATTTAAAAGGCTATTTTGCCAAAAATTAATTTGAATTTTATTTTTTATGCTGGCATATGTTTCTGCATTCTCGAGATATACACGCGTGGAGACCACGCACTTTAAATTACTCTTGGTCTTGGGGGCGGGAAAATTTAAAGAGTCGTCTTTGAAATTTGACAAGTCTTTGTTTTGGTAAGTCGATTTTTTTACTATTGCCTTTTTTATTCTTGTCCTTCTCGCTTTTACAATGCTTTTCTGAAATTCACGTATTTAGTCAAAATATATCGGTACTGTACTAAATTTAACACAAAAAGCGCGTTTTTTCGGGCAACTTATTTTTATATGTTTGTAAATGTAGATCGTCCAGGTTGGTATAGTCCTGAGAAGGACTGTTTTTGTTGTTGTTGATTGACGTTTCGACAACCTTAGCGGTAGTCATCTTCAGAGTCAAATGAGGAGTAAACGTCAGGTTAGCCGTATTTGTTATCTGGTTCTTACGTCATTGTATTGTGTGTACAGGAAATGTGTGGGTGTCAATTGTGTATTGTCATTGTGTGTGAATTAGTGCGAAGTGATATGTTTTTAATTGTGATGTGCGATTTAGGTGTGATGTTTTTAGTTGTAATCTGTGGGTGTCAATTGTGTATTGTCATTGTGAATTAGTGTGAAGTGTAATGTTTGTAGTTGATCGTTTATTTGCATTGTGAATAAGTCGTTTGTTCCAAGTTGGTATACCAACTTTCTAATGTAAGCCGTTGTCTATAGTCAGTACTGTAAGTAATGCATTTTGCCGAGTCCCAGTCAATGTTGTGCTTTGTCATTCGGTGATGTTCGGCAATGTGATTAGTTTTGTCTTGTTTCTTAGTAGCTCGTTTGTGTTCAGTAAGTCTTATGTTTAAGTTCCTGCCAGTTTCGCCGATATAGGAGGCGTGGCAGTCGGAGCAGTTTATTTTGTAAACTGCACCTTGTCGTTCGTTGGGTTGTTCTTTGTCCTTTATGTTCGTTAAGTACTTGTCGTAACGTTGTGATTGGTTTATGTGCGACACATATGTTGTATGGTCGTAAGATACGCGAGATAGTCTCAGACGTACCTTTGATGTAAGGTATCGTTGCTGTTGTCACTGAGTTGTTCGTTTCGTTGGGTTTGCTGGGTTTGTAAATGTTGCGTTTGATAAAGTCAGAGTTATAACTCACAATTGTTATACCAACTTAGAACAAACCCCCCTGAACAGATCACAGCAATTACCGGCACCTTACAAACGACTTATTCACAATACAAACAAACGATCAACTAAAAAACATTACACTTCGCACTAATTCACAATGACAATACACAATTGACACCCAAACATTGCAACTAAAAACATCACACCTAAATCACACATCACAACTAAAAACATTTCACTTCGCACTAATTCACAATGACAATACACAATTGACACCCACACATTTCCTGTACACACAATACAATGACGTAAGAACCAGATAACAAATACGGCTAACCTGACGTTTATTCCTCATTTGACTCTGAAGATGACTACCGCTAAGTTTGTCGAAACGTCAGTCAACAACAACAAAAACAGTCCTTCTCTGTACTATACCAACTTGGACGATCTACATTTACAAACATGTAATACTTTCTTTATGAATTTTCAGTAGATTTATCAGGTAATGCCAATATACTTATGATACTTATCCATGGTAAATTTTCAGTTGACTTATGTCGTAGAACTGAAGCAAACATTTTCTCGCTTTCTTAGGAGCATTTTAACACAGATTTACCCATTTGAGCAAAAAAAATAGTTGCACCAAACTGTTTACAAACAGTCAAACACACAGAAGTATAAAATAATGTATTCGTTTACCGAGATTGACAGGTCTACTAAAGAATGCCGTTTGATTTTCACTTTTAAATGGTTAAAATGTCATAAAATAACTTAAATAATACAGCCAAAATATGCGTTTCTCTACCGTCGATTTTCTTTATTTTGATGTTTGTGTGTACTGTGTTTTTCACGTAATGCTGAAGCATTATTTTCACATGATATGCTGTCGGTATCGTAATTGTTTTTTCTCACTTGTTATCGTTCGTATACGAAATCAGGAGGAAGTGAATATTGAAAAAAAATTTTAAAGTGGAAGTTTTGACCACCAAAATCCGCCATTACCGCCATGTTTTTGACCACGGGGTCCAGGCCCCTTTTCCCCTCCAGGTATTATAGAACTCAATGGTTGAGCAATGTTGAGCCTATGACATAAAATATTCCACGATGCCTAGCAACAACTGGAGCTATACATACATATACAGTTCAGTGACAATAATATATGCCAAAAAGTACGCATGCGTTAGCTCAACATTGTTGAGTGAGGTGTGCAAACGAACTAAACAATGTTTAGACACGCATTGATGTGCGCGGAACAAAGAAAATGTTGAGTGCTGTTGAGTCGAATGTTTGAACAAGTTTAAATACCTCTCAACACCACTCAACAGGGTGTGCAAATGCGCTCAACATGTTGAGTCCAAAATGTTGAGTGAACATGTTGAGCGCGTTTGCACGTAGGTTAATAATTATATTGATCACACTTGTTTTGATGTATGCGATACATGCCTGCACAAAGGATGTGCATTAATTGAATCGGAGCAGCGTGAATTCCCCGACTGTCATAAGTCTTGCCGATCAAGTGCATGTTACAACCTACATAAAAAACAACGCAGATTAAAAGGACATGATCTTCCCTTAAAATATGAAAGCTCGTATAAATGCCGTGCATACAATGTCAGTGTCGACAGAAATAGAAAAGATAAACACAAGTGCGGAGAATTTAAGTGCCATATCTCCAAACAGCTTGTTGTTAACGGATATTTATGTTTTATTCAACCCGAACCAGCAAAAAAGCCAAATGTTAATCTCATTTTTTACGATTTAGAAATAAATTTTACAAGCGGAGAGCACATTGTGAATTTTGAAGTTTTACATAATGCTTCAGCTGACGAACATGTTTTCAAAGGATACAATGCATTAAATGATTTTTGTTAGTTTTTGTTTTCAAGAGAGCATACAGGCTATGCTGCAATTGCGCACAATGCAAAACGATTGACGCCGTTCTCATTCAAAAGTGGCTCATACAGTATCGGCCGACAGCAGACATGCATGTCATTCATTCAGGTCTGAAAGTAATGCAATTATTTTTAAAGGATTACCAAATCACACTATTCGATTCGTCAAATTTCCTAAGTACGCCTCTTTCTAATTTACCGCGAACGTTTGGATTGAATCTGTCGATGTATTCGAAAGGCGATTTCCCATTTAAATTCAACACTCGAGAAAATCAAAACTACATTTGGCCGATTCCAGCTCTAGAATATTATAGCCTCGACACAAAGACTAGATGAAAAAGAGATGAACTAATTGTATGGCATCAGAATTTAGTTAATGAGGGGTACGTTTTTGAGTTTCAAAATGAAATGTTCAAATATTGCTCTCAAGATGTAACGTATTTTACGTTTGTGTAGTATGGAATTCAGAAAGCTGTTCATAGCAGAGACTACCATAGATCCGTTTTGTTACTGTACAATTGCCTCTACAGTCATGGCTGTATTTCGTTGAAATCATTTAAAAGAAAAAAATCATAAGTATTGTACCTAAGAATATGTATCGCGAAAACAACAAGCCGTATTCGAACAGTTCCATTGAGTGGTTGCAGTTAGTTTCTTTTCAAACAAAAAGCAATAGCAAGCACGCCCAACTCTACGGGGGTGAGAAAGTTATTTTTGATCCATTGTTAGGTGAAAATTATTTCTTCAACAGATTTTGCGTAGACACTAATACTGTCTATGAGTTTATGGTAAAGTTTATTACGGCTGCACTTTGTGCCTTGATTTGAACGGTGAAAATCCTTATCACAGAGGGACAACGCTAACAGACGTGTACAATCAAACCATTGAGCGTGAGAAAAGATTATTAGAGTTAAGGTATAACGTGAAAACAATATGGGAGCATGATTTCAAGCGATTGAGACAGACATCGCAAATGCAGCATTTTTTAAACACACACGAAGTCATAACAGACCTAAACACGACTGATAGTTTTTTTGGAAGGAAAGTTGAAGGCTTTAAGTTGTTTCGTAAGGCCGAAGAAAACGAAAAAATTTTTATTACGATTTTACAAGTCTTAACACGTTTGTTTTGAAAAATCGGCGTTATCATACAAGTCACCCAACAATTATTCGCAAAAATTTTGAAGACATTTTTAATTACTTTTGTTTGATTAAGTGTCGCGTTCTACCCCCGAAAAGCTTCACATTCCTGTCCTCCCCGTGAAAGTTAATGGTAATATAATGTGTAAGCGATGTGCTGCAACTGTCTCATTTAGAAAACAAGCGTGCGTTTTGGGGGGACATTTAGTACTATTGAAATGACTAAGGCAAAATTTTAGAGATACATGAAATCTGGCATTTTGAAAAAGGTCTGACAGGTTATTTACCGAATGAGTCAATTTCTTTTTGCGAGTGAAGCAAGAAGCTTCCGATTGGCCGAGCTGGATTTCCTCAGAAACAGACCAGGCAAAATAGATCATTGACTACCTAAAGCATGAGGGAATTCTATTACGTAGGCGAAAATTCAAAAAAATACAGGGTTAAAGGTACTAGCAAAGCTTTGTTTAAGGCCTCTTTTACACTATACCGGATTGCAGGATTGCAGGAAATTAACAAGTTAATTGAGGAAACCGACTCCGAAGAAGAAGCGCAAAGCATTTCCGAACGACAATCCGATATGGAATTTCATGACAACAGTGATCTTTCTGATAACGAACCTTCATTTTACCAACGGATTGATCATCAACTGTAACATCGACAGAGGTAAAGTATCAGGGAACGATAAAATTATGAAATTTTTAATCAAAAGGTAACACAATCAAACAAGCAATTATGCACTAATTACACAATAATTACTTTTAGAGACGAGTTTCATACATTTCTTCACTGGATCTTGATGACAGAGACGGCAGGGACAGCGACGACGACAGAGACAGTGAACATGGTAGGGACAGAGCAACGACGACAGAGACAGTGAAGACGGCAGGGACAGCGACGACGACAGAGACAGTAAAGACGGCATGGACAGCGATGACGACAGAGACAGTAAAGACGGCAGAGACAGTAAAGACGGCATGGACAGCGACGACGACAGAGACAGCGAGCGGGACAGACGACAGAGACAGTATGGACAGTGACGATGACAGAGACAGTGAAGACAGCAGGACACAGGGACAGCGACGACGACAGAATGGCCGAGACAGAGACAGTGAACAGGGAACACACAGACAGTGACGACAGAACAATAAAGCAGGGACAGCCGAACAGAGACAGTAGACAGTTGGACAACGACAGAGACAGTAGGACAGTTCAACGACAGAGATGACACGACGAGAGACAGTGAAGACAACAGGACAGTTGGAGAAGGATGGAGCGGACAGAACAAGAGACAGAGACATTACACAGAGACAATGACAGAGACAGTAGAGACAAAGACAGAGACGAAGGATAGGGACAGGTGACAGACAGAGACAATAAAGACAGCAGGGACAGAGAGACAGTGAAGACAGCAGGGACAGACAATGATGACAGACAGTGGACAGACAGCTTGACAGAGACAGTGAAGACAGCAGGGACATCGACAGAGACAGTGGCAGGGACAGCGACGACGACAGAGACAGTAAAGACAGCAGGGACAGTGACGACGACAGAGACAGTGAAACAGCAGGACAGCGACGACAGAGACAGTAAAGACGGCATGGACAGACGACGACAGACAGACGGCAAGACAATAAAGACATGACAGAGACAGTTTCGGTACAATGTGGATTCGACAATGACAATCAAGTCTTCGAGGTTGATGGAGACAGTGTCAATCAACACAACGAGAACAAATTCTTTCTCAAAGACGACAGTGACAGAGCAGGACAGTTTCAATTCAAGTGGACAAGAACAAAAGGACTTTCCGGACAGACGAAGACGGGACAAACAACACAGCAACTAAGTAGACAAATCAGTCGGAGAGTCAGTCAATTTCAATTCAAGACAAAGATAAAACATATGGACACACAGTCAGGGACAGTATTCTTCTACAGAGACAGTGAATTTTTTTTTACTCATTAACTGTTTCTTCTTTCTTTTTAGACAAAAATTTTTTCTTTATTCGCAGACTCTTCTAGTGAACAACAGTCAGTGATGTTCTTAAAAATTTTCATTTCTTTGACGACAAAGACTCATCGACGATCAGTCAAGTTTTTTGACAGTCAATTTTTCATGGACTACAAGACAGAGACAATGGGACAACGACGACAGAGACGACAACAGGACAGACGACAGAGACAGTCGATGACGACAGAGACAGTAAAGACAGCAGAGACAATAAAGACGGCATGGACAGCGACGACGACAGAGACAGTAAAGACGGCAAGGACAGTGACGACGACAGAGACAGTAAAGACCGCAGGGACAGCGACAGTGAAGACAGCATGGACAACGACGACAGAGACAGTCAGGGACAGTGACGACGACAGAGACAAGAAGACAGCAGGACAGCGACGACAAGAGAATGACGACGACAGAGACAGTGAAGACAGCAGGGACAGTACAGAGACAGTGAAGACAGCAGGGACAGCACGACAGAGACAGTAAAGACGGCATGGACAGCGACGACGACAGAGACAGTAAAGACAACAGAGACAAAGACGGCATGGACAGCGACGACGACAGAGACAATAAAGACGGACAGTGACGGGAAAGACAGCGACAGACAGTGAAGGGACGACGACAGAGACAGTGACAGGACAGCGACGACGACAGAGACAAGGCAGGGACAGCGACGACGACAAGACAGTGAAGACAACAGGGACAGTGACGACGACCGAGACGGTGAAGAGACGACGACAGACAGTGAGATGGCAGGGAAAGTGACGACGACAGAGACAGTGAAGACATGGACAGACTACGACAGACAGCAGGGACAGTGATGACGACAAAGACAGCAAAACAGCAGAGAGACCAGGGACAGCGACGACGACAGACAGTGAAGACAGCAGGGACAGTGACGACAGAGACAGTGAAGACAGCAGGGACAGCGATGACGACAGAGACAGTAAAGACAGCATGGACAGCGACGACGAGACAGTAAAGACACAGAGCATGGACAGCGACGACGACAGAGACAGTAAAGAGGACAGTGACGACACAAGACGAGCACAGAGACGACAAAGGACAGCGGCGACGACAGAGACAGGACAGTGACGATGACAGAGACAGTGGGACAACGACGACGACAGAGACAGTGAAGACGACGACGACAGAGACAAGCAGCAGGGACAGCGGCCACTACAGAGACAGTGAAGACAGCAGGGACAGCGACGACGACAGAGACAGTGAAGACGGCAGGGACAGCGACGACGACAGAGACAGTGAAGACGGCAGGGACAGCGACGACGACAGAGACAGTAAATACGGCAGGGACAGCGGCCACGACAGAGACAGTGAAGATAGCAGGGACAGTGACGACGACAGAGACAGTGAAGACAGCAGGGACAGCGACGACGACAGAGACAGTGAAGACGGCAGGGACAGCGACGACGATTATGACGATGACAATGTGGGTGAAATGGTGAACGACCGAGGTGACGACGACGAAATATTAAAAAAAGTCGAGATGAATGGACATAAACCTTTGAGATAGATGGTATTATAGACGAGAAATAACTGGAGGATGGTGGATTCAAATCACTTTCAAAAGAAATCAGTAGGACACAACGGAATATATAAATATGCACACCCCAATTAACGTTCTAGTTACGCCTCTGTTTATGTGTGTGGCCAAAGTCAGTCCAGTAAAAGCTATCTGGTTAGATCGATACTTTATAATTTGAATTAACACTTTTATCCGGTCCGGAATTAAATTATTAACTGTTACGGTGAATAGCAAAGTGAATTTGGGGAAATGGAATCGAAAATTCCACACATTTGCTTTGTCGAAGGAGTCCCTGAGAACTTGTTTGATATTCTGGAAGGTTGTCAAAACTCTTTAGTGATCGTTGACGATGTGATTTCCGAGTGTTCTAATGATCAACGAATGTCTGATTTATTTACCCTCGGGTCACATCATCGTGGAATAATCTGTTATGTATTTAACTCAAAATTTATTCAATCGAGAACTATCAGTCTAAATTCTCATTCTAGGATCATTTTCAAAAACCCCAGAGATTCATTAGGGATATACAATTTAGCGTGGCGAATGTATCCGAAAAAAACGAATTACCTTTTGGAATAATTTCAAGATGCTGCAAGTCGTCCTTCTGGTTATCTAATGTTGGATATGCATCAACTCACACCCGACAATATGCGTATCAGAAAAAATATCCTGCCTGGGGAAAAGCATATTGTCTATGTACATAAGTAATAATCATCGCGTTCAACAATCATTTAAATACCATGTCTAAGCAAATTAGGAGCAATCTTCTCTACTTGCAAGTCCTTGCTACATCTAAGCCGAAAATTCGAAAAGTGATCATCGAACATGGTCCGTCTGACGTTATTTCATGCATTTGAGAATGTGCAGTGAATGTGTGAAAAGGACCTGTACCTATATCTGTGAAATTCTTGCTTGGTCAAGCACAAATTGCCCTCCGAAAAAACAAAATTGGTAGCAAGACACTCACTGCTGGAGACCTAAAACTACCAAAGGTGTGCAAAGTTTAATCAACCACGATGATGGTTTTAGATTTCTCAAAACCTTCAGGGGCTCACCACCTTACTTTGAAAGAACCAAAAAGGATTTATTTGCTCTGATTCGACAGTTAGGACCAGCATCATTAATTGCAGTTCTTCATCGGCAGAAACAAAATGGAATTATTTATTAAGAGTTCATGGAAAACTTATTGATCAAAAGGATTATAGTGATGAGGAATTGGACAATCTTATATGCGAGGAAAGATGACGACCTATTCAAAGTGACCCTATAATCTGTGCAAGACATTTTGACTATCAATTTAATACTTTCTTAAAAGATGTTTTGATGAGTGAACTCGCTCCATTAAGCAAAATTAACGATTGGTTTATACAGTCGAGTACCAACAGCGTTGGTCACCTCATATTCATTTTTAACATGGCTGGAAAATACACCTGTGTTTGGCGTTGATAAAGATGAAGATACTGTCGCATTTATCAATAGCATGCATAATTCCCTGCAGCAAATCAGAAAATGATTCACAATTACTTGATCTTATGAATAGACAGACAAATAGACATTGTCATACTTGCAGGAAAAAGTAGCAAGAAAGATTTAATAACAGAGGACTGCAACTATATTTATATTATTTTTAAATTAAAGAAAGCTTTTAGAAAGAAATAACAGGATAGTATAAACTTATCTGTCTACGACAACAATAAATAGCTTTGCTTCTCAGACAAAATCTTCAACTCTTCTCCGTCCTCAAATCATTACGACGATACGTCCAACAACAAATAGCCAAATACCACGAGTGTTCGGTATCTTTCGTATTACACAATGTTCTTCAAAAATCATCCTCCTCGCTTTAGCTGTCCACTGCTTATATATTGTCTGGAAACTAATTATAAAGTATGAGTCCTTTTTATAATTATGGCATAATCGCTATTTACAACATATGACGTAATGTTTCTAAAATTAGAATGTAACTATACTATAACAATGAGTCAGCGTGATAAAGCCAATTAATAAGTCTGACGTTATCTTATCATCCAACTATAAAGAAATTAATATTTCATATTTATTCAGAAAAATTCGAAGTTGAGAGCTGCCTATGCTTTAATTTATTATTTACGCATACGGAGCAATATTTTTTGATTTCATGCAATTTGATTGTTCTGTCTCAGTGGGCAGCTTTTTACAATATCTGCCCGTAGGCAGAAGTGATACTTTTCTCGCAATGTGTTTGTCTACGAAGTAAAATGTAAATTTTTAAAATTGATTGAAAAGTTTTGTAAATTGTTGAACAAGTAGGTAAAGTGAATTCAGATCAATATTATCATAGCAATAGTGATTTTTACTATCCAGAAGAAGGAAAGTTTGTGGAATACTAGCCAATTTCAGTCTGAGCTAGTAATCACAGCAGCACGCTGTATCGGCCATTTTACAAGGCGAATTTCTTCATGATAAAAACAAAAAGACAGATATCTTATTTACCGCTTAAGTCGGTCCGTACTTAAAAAATATTTTCACTCGGCCTCAAAAGGGTCCTTCGGCCTTGGACCACTTTTGAGAGCTCTTGAAAAATTTTTTTGAAATAGAATTCATAAGATATATATGTGTTGAAATCACCTTTTTAGAAACCACCAATAGCGCATTATATAGCATGCGAGAGTGACTTTTTTTCTCATGATAAAGAATAGTCAATGCTACGAAATAACTGAAAATAGAAAAAACTTAGGAGTTTACAATTCGTGTAAAAGAGGCATGTAAAAGAATTACATAATGTCCAATTTAGTTTTACTTACTTTGACTATTGATACCTGTTTTTATGCTAGGCTCTAATTGTTGGGTCATTTTAATTTACTATAACTAATTGTTGCTTTAAATTCATATAGCACAACACATGTCCAGTTATTTTTTACCAGTTTTTGGCAATTTTATCGTTGGCAATCAAAGTAGTCCTTGGTCTCAGGTTCAAAATGTTGCCCAAAAAACATTGGTAAACTAACCTCAGCACCAAACACAACAGCCACCACAAACCCAAATACAATTCCAGAATCTGACAACAACAACACTTGATAAATTCAGCATACAACTGATGATATGTTGGAAGCTGCTGAATAAAAGACTATGACATGATGTCGTAGCTATTTTTAGCATATAATGGTGGTTGCAAAAGTGACTCATCCAAAAGTATATTAACACGTTGAAAACATAAAGTAGTTTCACCTTTGTTGAAATCTTCAGTTTTGGCTTGAATAATTAAATCAGCATTGGACATGAAAAATTTCTTCTGTTTCATGAAAACTATTGCTTTAATCATTTCAACATTCACATTGGCATTTAACAAATGTCTATAAACAATTCATGACGTTATGTTGAAAATGAAATAATACACGAAAGGGAAATCTAAATTCAGTCATTTCTAAAAAATAATATCATTTGGATAACAATAAATTTCATATACTTTTCTCTTTTTCTTTTACCAAATTGCTTTTGGTGTCAATTAATAAATAAGAGGCATAAAGACTATTTTTAGCATTTAGGAGTTTCTACACAGTCAAACGCTATCAAAAATATATTGTGCGAGTTTAATTGCTCATTGAATTGTTTCTGAAGGGAAATTTCGATTCTGGTGGTTTGCAAATAAATGCAACGATTGGAATTTATGTAACTTAAGGACAAATGTTACGTTGATGATAGAGTTGAAAAATTTAAACAGTTTTAGACGTGATGGCGTTTAAAGCTATTTAGTTGTTATTATCAGAAAGGTCACAATAGCTCCAAAACCTCAATGTTGTCAGATTACACAAAGAGAGCTCACATAAAGAAATTAATAGAAAATCAAGCCACATTTAAAGTAATTTGTCAGCACTCATGCAGCAGCGGCGAATTTCGTTGTCACCAACTTGTTTTATTTTCTATGAAAATTGTATGCATATTTATGTTATGCATAAATTTTTAAGACTTCTATCAAACTTTATGTTATCCACCGTTCATACAGTACAATCCCAGTAAATCAAACTCGCTTAACTCAAATTCCCCTCTGT